CACATCATCAGTTTCACATTCAACCATTCATATAACTTGTTTACATTCAACAAATCATATACCTTCTTTCATTACAATGATTATACTCCCCTCCATGTACCATCAGTTAACAGTATTTATCTCTATTCACTTTAGCTTTTTAAAAACAAAACAAAACAAAAAAACCCACTCAGGCATATATAATAATTTACATCTACAAAGGGCACATTCTGCAAATCTGCTCCTGGCCACCAGTTCTTAGTCCTTCTCTTCTTAGTTGATGAATCTAGAGTCCTCAGTCTCCCCCCCATCTCCATGCCTCCATCTCTGCCTCCATCTCTGGCGCCGCTGCTTCTCTGGATAAGGTCCCACATTCTATTTGTGCATTCCTCTCTTGATGGTCCTAGGGTCCTCTGTTTCTGGACAGTAAGATTAACCACTCCCCTTTTTTTGTTACAAAACTTCTACCTTTATCATTGTCACGATTAGTCATGATAACAGTTATTCACTATTGAATCTTATGAATCTTATCCCCATCTCTTTTCACCAGAACCATCTAGACAAAATGACAGCTATTCAGTGGGGACTCTTTTGTTGCCCTCATACTCTTAAACTAAACTCTCTGTTGAAACCTTGTAAGCCAATCACTTCGTGCCTTTATTGTCCCCTCATTTTAGGTAGCCAGTGTCTAAGTTGTCCGTCCCTATCTACCCTGTGTACAGAGCAGATAGCATTGATACTTGATTTGAAGACTGTAAGCGTTCCAACCTTCTAAATATTCCTTTATATGTGGTTCAGAGTTCTGGGACCATCCCCTGAGGTTGTTTGGTTCTGTATTCTGCGTTGTTGCTGGTGGAGCTCACCCGATCCACCAAATTGTTTATTCTCTCCAAGGCTGTAAATCTTTAAGGGAACAGAAAGCCTCATCTTTTTCCCGCGGAGTAGCTGGTAGTTTTGAACTGCTGACCTACAGGCATGGCTTTATTTCAACAAAATGCGTTTTAGCATATTTCTGTGATCAGTGGGAGTGTAGTGAAGCTATAGGAAAAGCAGTGGACTTCAAGCAACACAGATGGCAGTCTGAGCCCACTGTCTGCTCCTTGGGAAAAAGATGACGCTTTCTGCAAAGATTTACAGCCATCAAAACCATATACAAGGTCTCTGTAAGTCAGAACCAACTTATTGGCACTTAACAGCAACTATCAGTGGTACTGTGGGCTAATGCATCAAACTGCAAAGTCGTTTGAACTGCAAGGTCGCTGGTTCAAGCTCACCAGGTGCTCCTTGGAAACTGTGTACAGGGTTACTATGGGTCAGAAACGACTCAACGGCACTTAACAACAACAACATCAGTGGTTGGATGTAGACAAGTTTTCTCAGTAATACATTTGTTGTAGTCTGTTAGGGTACCTCCAAAATGATTCAATCATAAGAAGCCATCTGAAGGGCTCTGCTGGGCCTGTTAAATGCAAAGCACAAAAGTCAGTTCAGAACTTTATAGTGACTGTTTTGGGGATTCCTAAGAGGTAGTTTTGATGGATTTTCTCACAGGACATAGGCAACCATAAGGCTTATTATAAAGAAGTTTTAAGAAAATGGAAAACTGCCTTGGTGAGAAAAAATCCAGGGAAGTTGCATCTTGGAATTTTTTTTCCCATCACAACAATGCACCTGTTCATTTATCAAGGGTAGCAAGGGCTGTCCTAAGGGAATTTCACTGGGAAACCTTACCTCATCCACTTCACACCTCTGCACTTGTCGGCTCACACATTTCTGTGTTCCTAAAACTCAGAGAACATTTGAAAGGAACACTATGTGTGTCCGTCAAGGATGCTGGAACTCCCGTTTTGAATTGATATGAATAGTAGTTGCTGTGCTCTGTTGAATGTGTTCTAACTCACAGCGACTCTGTATAGGCTTTCCAAGGAGTGACTGGTGGGTTTCAACCACCACCCAGACCAGTGCTTATCTAACAGTGTGGGGAATGGTTAAAAAGATGGAAATACCACCTTCATGTGTCTATAGACCTAGATGGAAGCTGTATCAGGAAATCATAGTTTCACATTTTATTGTTTTTATTAATAAAGGTTTCTATGATTTTGTAGCAACACTTATTTGACTTACCCCTGCTTATTTTAAAGTACTATGATATTTTTAAATTATCAATAACAATGAAAGAATATGTTTTTAATCTATGTTTTGAATGTGAATAAAATACTAGGTCTTAAGCTTGTTTCAAAGAGCCACAAAAAGTACTTACGTGATGTTCATGGTCTGTAACTGGGAAAGAAGACTTTAAAAATTATATTTAATTGCATGTAATAAGAAATACTATGTAAGTTGACTCCAGAGCCCTGGTGGTGTTGTAGGATACCAACTGGAGTCATAACCATGAGTTCAGCAGTTCAAACCCACCATCTGCTCCACAGGACGAAAAAGAGACTGTCGTCTTCTGTAAAAATAGTCTTGGAAACCCTACACATTCAGAGTCACTGTGAGCCCCAGTCTGCTCCATGGTTGTTGCTTTGAATTTTAAAATCCTGATGTAGGGTAAGCACTTGAATACTAACTTCAAAGTCAGTCGTTCAAACCACCAGCTGCTCTTCAGAAATCTGATACAGGTTTTCTATGAGCTGGAACTTAACAACAACAATGTAGGTTGTAACATATTAATTTATCAGTTAGCATGATAGTATATGTATTATCATCCATCTTCTCATGGAAGTACTAGTCAATAAATCAAATTACATATCACAGGAGGCAAATCTGCTACACAAGACCTCTTCAAAGTATTAAAGAGTGATGATGCCAGTTTAAGGAGTAAAGTGCAACTGACTTAGTCATGATATTTTCAGTAGCCTAATAGGCATGTGAAAATTGACAATGAATAAGGAAGACCATAGAAAAATTGATGCGCTTGAATTATGGTGTTGGAGGAGAACATTACAAGTACCATGGACTGCCAGAAGAACAAACAAATCTGGGTTGGAAGTACAGCCAAAACGCTCCTTAGAAGCCAGGATAGTGAGACTCAGTCACTTTGGACATAATATTAGAAGGGACCAGTCTCTGAAGAAGGACATCATGCTTGGTAAAGTGAAGTGGTCATTGATACAGAGGAAGACGCCCAGTGAAATGGATTGGCATAGTGGCAGCAGCAATGGGCACAAGGGTAACAGGATGATGAGGATGAAACGCTATACACAACAGGCAGTGTTTCATTCTGTTGTGTATAGCATTACTTACTATAAGTCGGACTCCTGGGGACCTAACAACAACAATTATCCATTCTAAACTAATAATTTTTTAGCAATATAGAAAAGTTATCTATGAATATGTGCTTCAATAAGATTAATATGTAATTACATTGTGGCAGAGTGAATTATGTAATGTTTCTTCTAGTCATAGTTTGTAAATTCCCACCAAATGACTTAGTCCCAGTAGGTCTGGAGGGGAAAGATGCTGATGGATTATATGAGTCAGTTGTGAGTGATTGTTAACAGGGCTAATTGTGATTGGTCAAGTTTGCCACCTGGTTGCGTATAAAATACGCCATTTTAGAAGCAGAAAAGGGGATCGCCAAACTATCAAGGAAAAACTGCCAGGTGGGAAACTTGCCCTTTGGCCTCTGAGAACCCTGTGCATTGACCCCCGTGATCCAGGAGAGAGAAGTGTGACATCAGAGGAGCCTCAGCAGTACCCAAATAGAGAGCATGAGACAAAATTATGAACTTCCTGGCCGTGGAGCTGGTAAAGCTGAGGGCCTTACTGCCGGAAGCTGGTTTTCAGAGTGGGTCGTCGCCTCCAGGCATTTAATTAGGGAGCTAGGTTTACTGACCCATGACGTAAGTGCTGAACACCATCAGGCTGAGGCTTATGGTGAGGTGGTGTGCCCTGTGAGCGTTTATCACAACCCTAAACGCACTGAGTGGGGAACTTGGAGTTATGGTTTTCAATTGCAGGGCTGTTTATTTCTCTGTGTAAACGCTATCATCACCCTGTAGCATCAGTAAGTCATTTAGCATTTAGCAACTGTTGAGATATTATGCAGTTATTTCTATAGAAATATTTTAAATAGATGATGTTGTTGTTGTTGTGAAGTTCTATCGAGTCGGTTCCTACCCATAGCGACCCTGTATAGGGTTTTCGAGGAGTCGCTGGTGAGCTTGAACCGCCGACCTTGCAGTTCAACTGGCTCTGCACTCTGGCGCATTAACCCACAGAGCCACACCAGGACATCCAAACAGATGATAAAATACCTTAAATATATATTGTTTGATTTAAATATATATTGTTTGGTTTAAATATATATTGTTTGATTTAAATATATATTATTTGATTTAGTGTGAATACACATACTACTTTAATGTAACCTTTTTTTTATTCTAACGAAGTAAAAACTTTTTTTTTTTTAAGTTGGTCATCCATTTAATTTATTATTAAAGGATATCCTGGTGTGGCGCTGTGGGTTAATGCGCCAGACTGCAGAGCCAGTTGAACTTCAAGGTCGGCGGTTCAAGCTCACCAGCGACTCCTCGAAAACCCTATACAGGGTCGCTATGGGTCGGAACCGACTGGACAGAACTTCACAACAATAACAACATATATTTGACAACATTTAGATAATATAGTTGGAAATATAGGCAGAAATATATGTAGAAATATAAATTTATGTAGAAATATATGTAGAAAAATAAATATGTTGTTGTCGTTATGTGCCGTGGAGTCAGTTCTGACTCATAGCGACCCTGTACAGGGTTTCCGAGGCTATAAATCTTCACGGGAACAGACAGCCTCATCTTTCTCCCGAATATATGTATTCTCCACTCGGCTTCTCTTTCTACTATATATTTTGGGAAACAAGAACATGGACACTTCCTGGAAAAGATGTGTGTAATCACTCCTCCAAAGAACTGGCCCATTGACCAACAGTGAATGATTTTTTGGACTAACGAATAGAGAAATTCCCCCAAGCTGTCTTTCCTTCCTCTGACTTGCATCTCGTTGTTTTCTTTCCACAGGAACTTTTTACGCCTGAATGCAAGTTTAAAGAATCTGTTTTTGAAAACTATTATGTAATCTACTCATCCATGCTATACAGACAACAGGAATCTGGTAGAGCCTGGTTTTTGGGATTGAATAAGGAAGGACAAGCTATGAAAGGAAACAGAGTAAAGAAAACAAAACCAGCAGCTCATTTTTTACCTAAGCCATTGGAAGGTGAGTGTTCTTTATTCTTACCAGATTAACTACGTTTTATTTTCACATGGGCAGCCACACCATAGATACCAGGGACACTGCTGGCATGCTGGAAAGACTCTCTGTGTGGGTCTGGGAGGTAGCTGTCCAGTGAAGATTTGTGCCGTTTATGCACTGTATGTGTAAACTTCCTCTCAGACTCCCTCCAATGCCTCAAAATCTCATGGTTCCAACTTCTGTCGCTCCTAAATAATTTAAATTAATTAATCTAAACATTTTAAAAGGAGCACTGGTAGCATAGTGATTACAAATCAGGCTGCGAGCCGAAAGGTCAGCAGTTCGAAACTCCCAGCTGTTCCACGGGAGAAAGATGAGGCTTTCTGCTCCCGTAAAGATTTACAGCCTCGGAAAGGGTACCCTGTACAGGATTGCTATGAGTCGGAACCGACTCCATGGCACATAACAACAACAAAACGTTTTAAAGACCTGTGGTATTAAAAATATGTGATAATAGGTATATTCAAAGAAATAAGTTTGAATTTATGAACTCAAGAGTATTTGCCAATGTTGATATTAATGAGGTCAAAGTCCTTTTCAAATGTATTATAATTACAGATCCTGCATATTTGTTTGCTGTATTCAGTAGTGGCAATACCTTCTTTTGCTAAAACAATAGATCTACATTCACTTTGAACTATGCATGGGACCTTTGCATATGCTGTAACCAGATTTCCAGGGAGCAGTTTCAAAAGTTTTGTTAGTCAGAAACACTTTGACCTTCCTCATTAATTACTAGACCAAAAGTACCATTCATTTTCACTTATGTAACTTATTTTTTGAGAGTTACAAAAGAAGTTGATTTTGAGACTTTTCAAAAGGGTTTTCTATTTGAATACTTTGTTTGCTCTTTTGCAGAAAAAGATCAACAGTAACTGAATGAGTTCTTTATCTAAATTACCTCAGACATGTGATTTTTCATTCTTTAGACTCTTACAGGAAACCTTTGCCATGAAGAGAAAATGCGTATTGGTTTTTATTCTTCAACAAGGGAATAATAGGATAATTTGAAATTTTGAACAGTCATTTCTTAATTATCTGGGAATGCATAATCCAGCTTTTCGTTTGCTTTAGTTTGGAAAACCACTCTTGTTGGTTAACACCACTCCTATCATTTCAGTGATGCTGATTAACTACCAACTGGAATTCAATTTGCCTTTACAATATTGAAGGCCCAAGTAGTCATCAGAATCTGTCTCAGGACAAATTATGCCAGAGTGTGAGTGAGTGGAGTGTTCTCATTATATGGGGTCCTGATGTTGTGGTGTAGGATAAGCACTGTAGTGTTAACCGCAAGGTCAATGGTTCAAATCCACAGGCTACTCTTCAGAAACCTCAGACTTGAGTTGGAATTGATTCAGTAGCAGTCATGAATATATAGTAGATTATAAATAGTAATAGAGTATAAAGTAGAAATTACAGATTATTCTTCCCAAGTAACACATTCATAATTTGACTATGTTGTTTAAATTGAAGTTTAAGGCTGCATACTAACACATTCAAATGTAAATGAATAATAAAATATAGATCCTTCTCACATGTTCAAGTATAAATAAATAAGAATAATATAGTTTATAGCAGCCCTAACCAAGATCTTGGCTTACTTGCCACCTGGCTTTGTCTTCTTCCATTTATTTTTGTTTTGAATATGTTGTTATTATTGCTGTGTGCCATGGAGTTGGTTCCGACTCATAGCGACCCTGTACAGGGTTTCCAAGGCTGTAAATCTTTATGGGAGCAGAGAGCCTCATCTTTCTCCCGCGGAAGAACAGCTGGGAGTTTCGAACTACTGATTTAGTGGTTCACAGCCTGATTTGTAACCACTACGTACCACAGTTCCTTGTTTTGAATATAGATGATTAGAAATTCGCTAGCTTTCTAAAATCTTACCTCACTGCATGATGTAATGAAAACTAAAAGGACTTATTGGTACATTTAAAAATGGTCTATTTGTTCTATTCTAAGAGGAGTATCTAAGATTGGAAAGGTGTGGTGAAATGACATTGCTGCATTTCCATCATGAATTGGCTCAAAGTGAGTAAGAGAGAAACAGTACTTTTCATCCTCATAAGTAGTAGAGTGCTCGAGAACAATGAAAGGGGTATTCAAATGACATGTTGTTGATATTGTTGTTAAATGCCATCAAGTTGGTTCTGACCCATCACAATCCATTCATAGGGTTTCTGAGGAGCAGCTGGTGAGCTTGAACCACTGGCCTTTCAGTTCAAATGACTTTGCAGTTTAGCACATTAACCCACAGCGCCACAACAGGACTCTTCAGATGACATAGTGTGTGTCACATAATGTTTCTGACAGAAAAAATTTCATTTCATATGTTCAAAACCCGTAATGAAAATTATGTCATTGGAAATGTTAAAGTGAATTAGGTACTTCATTAACTACCGATGTTCTACGTCTTCCTATCTGTTTTACAACCTCACTTCGTACCATACAATCAGGGTCAATGTGTGGGTCCCATTGTCTCCTAATTGAATTAGTGATAGAATGGTAGATGACAATGTGTCACAAAGACAGTGTGTTGATCCTGTGTACTGCCTTGCTGAGTCATCTACTATGTGCATTTTCAAATAAATGCACTATTGAAAAATCTTATGATGCCTTGAATCAAAAGGTGAAAATTTATTGCTTTACACATAGAGAGTGCCTGTGGTGGTTCAGCCTAAATAAAATATCTTTAACTTCTAAAAGTCTAAAAAAATAGGTTGTTGTTAAATGCTGCTGAGTCAGCTCCGACTCATGGCGACCCTGTCATAGGGTTTCGGAGGAGCAGCTGTGAGTTTGAACCACTGACCTTTCAGTCAAACTGACCTTGAGGTCCAGTTCTTAGCCTAAGGTACCACACCAAAACTCCAAAATAGTAGGTTGGGCAGCTGTAATTCATTTGCATTTCTGATGCTGGTGTCTTTAGTTCACTCATATTCCCTAAGGGTCAGTGTTTTGTTTTTTAAAAAGGCCTGGGGCCACATTTAATCTCCTTTGATTTCACAAGGGGCAAGAAAATCAAACTCCACATCAGCCCCAGGCGGATTCCTAGGAGGCTGTGGTCACCTTGCCTCCTGCCTTCTACCTTCTTTCCCACTGTTGACACCAACCCTCCCTCCTCCAGCTCTCTACTTCTCAGCTGGATCCCATAATTCATTGCACTGGCAACTCACAGCTGCATCATACATATAATCCTTTCAACATCTTTCCCTTCCTTTTCTTATTCATCTCCATCAGGAAGAGAGGAGAACACCCCTTCTGCCTGGTCCCACTCATTCACTGCTTTGGTGGGAGTTATGAAGACTTTTTGATTCAAAGAGCCCGTTAAATAATTCACTATCACAGTCTTGCTCTTAAATGTCCTTTCCCAGGATACCCTAGAATCATTTTCTAAAAAGCCACATAAACTTTTGGGGTTAACATGTTAATCAGATTTTATTCAGACAATTCCTCAGTTTATTCAGGCATCAGCCACAGTTGCCCTCCAGCCGTTCTAGGTCTCTGCCTTTTATAATATAAATTGTTAACTGATAATAATAGATCTGAAAAGGAAACATGAAAAATAAGATTAAAAAACTAGGGCATGCAGTTACTTTTAGTTGCTTAAACATCTTTTTCTATGATTGGGAGATGGGATATCTAAACAATGTTCTCCAGAAGGGCCAGGTTTAAAGGAACCAGGGTTTTTCGTGTGATTGTTTTGTATAGCTTCGGAGTTGACAACTAGTGTGCTTATATTGCCCTTTATCCACTAGAGAACATAATAATGTAATAATTTGCAGTGTAAATACCTATTACCATAAAGTTTAACTGGAATGAGTGCTTCAAGTGTGGACGTTAGTGTAGAGTAGAAGAGAAGTTTGTGCTTTCCTTGTTGTGCAAATGGAAAATATAGGTCCAATGCATTTTATTTCACCTGTTTCCTTTGTCTGTTCTATACCAGCACCACAGAGAGGTCAGAGCTTTTATTCAAACCTCCTTTTCTAGACAAAATTCATGCATTTTCATGTACATCTCTCAGCAAGCAAATAATGTAGAGAACAGAATGTCTTCTGTTTATGGACTCGAAATTACTGCTTTAAAATAGGAATTCTCTTGCAAAGAGATAGTTTTGTATGAGGGAAAATTGGAACAAACCACTGACATTGGTGTGTGTGCTAATGGACCATTATTGACTCTAATGGAGCAATGTTTCCTTCTTCCCTTCTTCATGCCTTTCTTTGTGTCACTAGTTGCCATGTACCGAGAACCATCGTTGCATGATGTTGGAGAAACGGTCCCGAAGGCTGGGGTGACGCCAAGTAAAAGCACTAGTGCATCTGCAATAATGAACGGAGGCAAACCAGTGAACAAGAGTAAGACGACATAGCCAGATCCTCACGGGTGCTGTGACTTATTCGTCCTGAGCACAGTTGAGTGATTTATCCTTACCAGACACCCCTGCTCCTGTGGCTGAGGAGCAGCTGGAAGTAAGCAAATGCTTTTTCTTTGCTGTCTCAGAACTTCTTTGTTGCAAGTGGATAAATCTCAACTTGTTGCACCCCCCCACAAGAAGACACCTGGGCAACCAGCTAAACTCAGACCATGGAATGCCCTACCAGATATGGAATGCCTTTTTAATATCTTTTCTGTGACTGTGACACTTCATGTGAATGACATACTTCACAAGTACACTTGATACTTTGCCTGCTGACAGTTACCCATAATCCTTTTTGAGTCCTGTTTCAGCGAAATCCATGTGTTTTAAGTTCAATTTTGTAGCACACCGATAATATTGAGTAATTTCTAGTTAGACGCTGTAAAACCTGTGCTATTATGGATTTCTCTTCTTCCCCATTTTTACAGGGCTGCTCGCTCCACTGTCTGTGACCTTTTGCAGGGATTGTGTTCCTCTTATCTCAAATGGTACAGTTGGCTAAATTCGGAGAGCAATCAGGGAATCGGGAAGTCTTCTAAACCTGTGATTACAAAATTGCATCTACAGAGATTGAGATTGTTGTCTCCGACTCCCACTATCAATTAAACAAACATATACCCACTATTCAAGTAGCAGAGACTGTGCCCCCGAGTTTGGTTTTCATGGGTGGGAAATGGGTCAAACACACTCTGTGAGAAGCTCTAGGATACGTGTTTGACGTCCCCTTATAGTTTCTTTGTGTGTGTGTGTGTTTTATACATATCACAAGCTTACTGGTAATGGTAACATTTGCCTTGCCCAGCGAGCAAGACCCACTGGTTTTTGAGAAAGTGGGTCCAAAGAACTCTGTAGGCCTTGTAGGCCTGATTAAGGTTCATTTTTCATCTACAAATCCTCATTATTTGGAAAAAAGGATTAAAAAAAAAAAAACAAAAAAAAAAACAAACAAACGGGAAAACCAATCATTACAACCTACAGGAATTGCGCTACCTAAATCCAAATCCATTTCAGATGTAACCCTTCCTGTTTTTACTGAGCTGAACTTAATGCCATCCCTGTCTTTGGCTGTGGCCCACTCATACTCTGCAGAGCATGGGCAAGGCGGCTGTTGTGTTCTTTTCTGCAGCAGCAATGCAAACGTTACTTATAAATTAGACTTTAATATTTTTGGTGTTTAATGACAAGTTTTTAAACTGACATATTAGGAAAAAATATTTTTTTTAGCTCAGCATGCTGAGTCCAGTACTGTGTATCTCACCAGTACATACCTCTAACAGCCTTGTGGGTGGGCCCCCAATACCCAGTGGCTGGGTTAGAGGTGCCTTGTTGTGATCTCAGAATACAGTCTGTTGAATTGTTCTAGATAAAAATAAAGGTAAACCAACGCATTCAAACATCAAAGTGGTGATCTATTCAATTTGTTTGCTTCTCTTTTGTTTTGCTTTTTAAATTTTTTTTAGAGTTTAATCCTGTGGAACTATGAACTTAGTGAAGATGATGATTAAGAAAGGCCATGAGTAATTGACACACAGTAAAGGTACCATGTCAGATGTTCAGCATTGGAGATGAAATTTCAAAATGCTTAATACTAGACTGTATTTTCTAGAAATGTATTTTCTAATTCTATGTATAGTTAATAAAATCCAATGTTTTCTTTTCAGAAGAGTTCATTTAGACCAAACTGAACCTCATTTATGGAAAACTGTATGTGGGATCAATGTACTGGCCTCTTGTTATTAATTTCATGTGGAAGGATGACCCAGTCACTGTTTTCCCCCATCTGCACTGTATTTACTGGGAAATTATTTGTCACTGCTTTCATAAATCTCCATGGCAGCCCTTGCCCAGCATTGAACAAGTTTGGCCTGCTTAGCTGATTAAAGATTTAGTATAAATTTAACTGTTTATGCTGATTTCATTTTCATATGGGATTCCACTTTAATAAATAAAACATTAGCTTAATGTTTGAGTAGATTTATTACAGATAATGCATAATGACAAATACACAAAATGGTTCCTTTGACAATTATTGATTTCTTGTTTCTCCATTTTAAAGCTTACTGTTTTTGTTTTGTTTTTACAGGTTAAGTTAAAATACATTAGATACATTTTATTAACCAATTATTTAGAAAAGATATAACTCCCATAATATCTGGAATAATTGAAGTAGAGATTCTAATTAGATGAATTTTTAAACACTGATTATCCCACTACAGATCTCACACACACACACACACACACATACACACCCCTACTAAGTGACTCCATTACTTGTTTTCAGTAGTTAGCGTGACTTGTAGGTTTTGTTTTCCCTTGCAAACCTGCTAACTGGTTAAAATTAATCACAATTTATTTTTGTAAATGACTGAGATTAAATGTAAATGTGCACTCTATTTTGTTTCTATGGGTTGCCAATAAGGGCATTTATCCATACAAATTGATGTCAAAATACTTGCTTTGAATACCGGTTTAGACATTTTGAACAGGGGTCTGTGTTTTCTGTAATTTACTTACAGCATTTATTTTGTGTCTCGTCTCATTTATTGCATGGGAAGAGGACAGTACTGATGCACTGCATGTAGAAGGATCTGTGTATCAAGAATTGTTGGTATGTATTACTATATTTACATACATATATGCAAAGAAATTGTCTACATTGTATAGTTTCTGTGTTTAGTATCGTGTGTTGTATTCATAAATACAACGTATTGAATAAAATAGTTACATGAAGGTATATTAAAAGAAATCAAACAACTTTATGTAACAAAATGGTATTGTGCCACCCACAGATACAGAAAAATGTTATGTAAGTAAGTTGGTAAACTCAATTCTCTCCTTAGCTATGCCAAAGAAAATTTTTGTTCCTTAATGATACATCGTTTACTATTTTGGGGGGATAAGATTTCACCATATTTTTCCCTCAACAAATTAACGTTTATTAAGTAAGTGCATTCTATCAGTATTGATGTTCTGTATAGTAAATCTGATGGAATTGATTTGTATTTACAGACTGTGTGTTTTGTCCCTCCATGCACAGATATTGATTGTATTCAGTCTCTATTATATCCCATTCTTTTCCACACGCATATCTGGTATGGGAAGGTTATTTCTACTGATTTGTTATGGTAGTTGATTGCTTTACCAAGTCCCTCAACAATGCTTGGGAATGTTAATTGTTCTGATATTTCTAGTGACATCATTTTTGTTCTCTAGAGTTTGCTTTCTAAGAGGTTTTGCTACAAAATTTGAAAAATTACAGAAGAGATACAACTGGTCCACTCTATGTAAAGAGTGAAATGGAATGGATCTTCAGTTCATTATGAATGCTAGAGATGTTAGAGGTACAGTAGCAAACCATGTGCTGGTCCTGAGTGTGTGGGGACTGGAGGAGGTAAGGAGATACACAATAGACCCAAATGACTCTTGTTCCTGTCCTACTTGTTTGCCTTTTTGTCAGCAAACAGAGTTTGTCTGTCACAGTTAATCACTTCCTTAACTAATGCCTGAAGAGTCGGATTTTTCATGGTGAGCAATATCAGATTTGGTCTTCTTAAAAACAAAAGCCATTTCTGGTTCTTTAACATGGACATGTTTCACTATATTTAAAGTATTCTCTGAAATATCACAATTGTCATTTCTATTTGATACCTTCCCAGGAAGGAGAGACTAAGAAATCCAGTTTAGAAAAAAGAAAACTCTTTTCAATTTGATTTCAGAAAATGGCTATAACAAAGGGAAGTCATTGGTCATTGTATTAAATATGGGATTGTTTTTCAAAATTCAATTAAAAAAAAAAATCCAGAATGCAAATTGTGATATTTCAGAGTAAAATAGAAGTCACAGCATGGGTATCTTATATTACAAGGAGGCACACACAGGACCTATTGATTCTCTCGGGTTTATTCAAGTCGGCTTCCAAGTGGTGATCGTTGACTCTGCAAACACAGGGTGAGTTAATGTTGTTTTGCTTTTTTTGATCTATTTTCTATATCGTTTAGTCTAATGATGTCTGCTGACTGAGAGTGCGTTTGATGTGAGGTGGTAAAGGCCAAGTCTTCTTCTATGCTCTGGAATCTAGATTAGCACAGTTTAGAAAGACAATAGGGGGTGGGGTGGGGAGGTGTATATGTATACTTAGGGTCTTAGTTGAATTTTATTGAAAGATCTTGGTTTGAAAGAGTCTTTAGTGTTAGTAAGTATGCCAGGCAGGCAGGATCTTTCCCACAACACTTGTAAACTTGCTGTATCCATTTCAATTGGCATGAATCTCACTGTAACTTCCTAAACTCATGGACACGCCTATATCCCCACCCACTGCCAGTTTGCTCTTGTCCAGCCTTTCCTTACAGCACTTTTAATTGTAGGATTTATGCCCTTACATGTAACTAAGATGTATAAACTAAGTCACTTATTAATAGATTGGTATTTGGATTGCAAGTCAAAACCATACACACACATAGTTTTATAACAGATGCAAAGAAGTAAAGATATGTTGTTTCTAGCGTTGTTGCTGTTAAGTGTCATTAAGTAGGTTCTGATTCATAGCAACCCTATGTAGGATTTCCACAGAGCGACTGGTGTGTTGGAACTGCCGAACTTGTGGTTAGCAGTCCAGTGCTTGTCCTACAGAACCACAGTTCTAGTGTTATAAAAGGAAAAAGCATTCACTAAAGTTGAAATGATAGCTGAGATATCATGTGACCTTTTGGTTCTATAGTAGTTAAATGAACTACAGAATGTAGGCTGTAACATTTTCAGTTTTGGGGGAAAGAAAATTGGATAAAGTACATTTTTAACTTTGTAACTGCTGTTTGTTGTTAAATGCTGTCAAGTTGGTTCTGACTCATAGTGACACTGTATAGGATTTCTGAGGAGTGGCTGGTGGTTTTGAACCCCTGACCTTACTATCAGCAGTCTAATGCTTACCCTAGACTTACAGTGCCACACCAAGATAATAATCTATGATATAATAATTTCTCCAAGATCTAAACTTTTGTTTTTAAGTTATAAAGGCTGAGGACATGTTTGACACTTTTCTTACTTAAGAATATTAAAAACAGCATTTTTGGTGTTGCTGTGGTTGTTAATGAAAAGGAATAACAACATAGAGACTGTTAAAGATACAGTTGAGGTTATGTGCTGAGCCACAAGAAATCATTAAAAGAAGTTTCAATAGAGCAGAGATCGGCAAACTTCTGCGCTTGGCCAAATCTAGTCTTCAACTTGTTTGCTTGTTTCTTAGCTCTGGATCATACAAAACTAAGAATACATGTGATGGAGATGTTTGTGGCCCAAGGAGTCAAAAATATTTACCGTTTGGCCCTTTGTAGAAAGCCAAACAGTATAATAATGAAAACTGAGGAAAGTAATGAGTTCCATTGTTTTCTGCATCATCAAATAAATCAACAAAACTGCTACTGAACGATTATCATAGGCTTGTTTGAGGCTTAAGATATTTACAGAAAATAACAGAATCTATATCTATATTTCCCTAAATTGATAAAGCAATGTACTTAGTAAAGGAGACAAGTAATATGGCTGTGTTCCGTGATCTCAGGATAGAGATTTTTATAAATCTATTTTAAAATGAGAATACTATGAGTCATTTTTAATGATTAGTAAATGAGGATGATATAATCAGCATCAGTTGTTGAATTTTCTTTTAATATAATTTTCACAGTTAAAATTTTAAGTAACTCAACAGATGCATTTTCTTTCCTTTTGTGTGTATGTGTGTGTGTGATTTGACTTTTGAAGTATAAACCATAACTCAAGAATATTTATGCTATTGAGATAAATTTTACAAGTAAAGAGTTTCATCTTAAACAGTACAGAAATGGTTTTGCTATCTTATTCTAGAATTTTTACAAAATAGAGTTCATACTTACAAAAACTTTTTAAAACTCTTAAAACTAATCCACATAAGTATGTTGTTGTTAAGTGCTGTCGAGTCGGTTCCAACCCATAGTGACCCTGAACAGGGTTTCCGAGGCTGTAAATCTTTACGGGAGCAGAACGCCTCATCTTTCTCCCGCAGAGCAGCTGATAGTTTTGAACTGCTGACCTTGCAATTCGCAGCCCGATTCGTAACCACTACGCTACCAGAGCTCCTTAATCCACGTAAGTATATTCCACTGTAAATATGTAAGGGAGGTCCCGATTGTGCATTTTCCTAATTCAATGTGAATTTCATATAAAGAAAAAAATTCACCATTAAAAAAATAAGCTTCCTAAGTTTTAGCACCCTAAACTGGATTTGTCGGAATAGTCATTCATATCTCATTTTTGTTAATAATGATTAGGTAAATATATACTGACACAGAGGTTAAAGTGAGAATAGACAAATGAACTAAAAGCTAAAAAATGACTAGTATCTTTCCTTCTAAAGTACCAGTGACCTGGTCTGCCTCAGAACCCCTGACTTTGCACCTCACATGCATTTATCTTCGCTGTTCTCCCATAAAAATGATGTGACATAGAATCCTGGAAAAAGCATATTCATAGCTTTATATGAGCTAAATCTTACCCTTAGATGGTGTTTCTTGCACAGAAATGGGTATTTCTAATACCCATGTAATTCAGGGTTTTTCAATTTCGATATTTGGAGTCAGAGAATTCTTTATCATGGGATTGTCCTATACATTGTAGGATATTTAGCAGCATCCATGGTCGCTCTCCACTAGATGTCAATAGCACCCCATCCCTGTGCTATAACAATACAATAATCTGTAGACATTGTCAAATGTCTTCGGGGCAAAACTGTCCCTATTGAGAACCACTAATATAAGGAGCTCTGGTAGCGTAGTGGTTATGAGTCGGGCTGCTAACCTCAAGGTCGGCAGTTCGAAACTACCAGTGGTTCCGTGGGAGAAAGATGAGGAGTTCTGCTCCCATAAAGATTTACAGCCTCGGAAACCCTGTGCAGGATCACTATGAGTCCGAACCGACTCCATGGTATTCAACAACAACAATGTATTTATGGGGGCGGGGGGTCTCTCTAGTGTATTCGCATCAGCATTTGCTCAACTTTATATCTAATGGGTATAAATAGGTTTCCCCCAGGCATTCAGAAATAGAAAAGCATACAAAAATCTGTTTGACCTGTTCTAGTGGTGATTATATACGGTTTTCTTGGCATTTAAATGTTCTAATGGCTGTAAAAATATGCAGAATCCAGTCTTGTTCCATGTAAAATGTTAAGGATAGTCTGTGCCAAGCCAAATTTCACAAGCATTTCCATTCCATCCATCCCAGCATTCACAGTTTCCACAGCTACATATTCCATTCCCTGCAATAAAATATACAAAGGAATCATTATCATAATCTAAGAGCACTGAGGTAAAATGTTATCATAAACCATAATTCTTCATAGAAAAAATCATTTCATTTGTCTTCAACAATTTCCTTTTTGTACAGAGGTCTTTACAGTTTATTAAGCAGCTATGAGAAATTTGTTGTTCTAAGCAATTGACAGCATTTATTTTGTACTGCCATCTATATGTATGGCAATACAATCAAATAGTAACTGTCCCATATCATTCCAGCTGGAGTCCATATCGTATTTTTGTTTCCCATTAAAGAACAAGTGATGTGTGATGTAAGAATAAATATTGAATATTGGAGAATATAAAGCTGCTCAACAAACAAGGCAAGCCAAGAAATCATCTAGAAGAGAAGTCTTGTAAGGAGGGCCAGAAAAAGAATGTTTACTTTAATGACACACATAGATAGCCACTTTTTACCTTAAGGTAGATGCCAGTAGAGCAAACATAGATTTTTCTACTTCCCTTCTATGATGTTAATAAGTTTATTTTATAAGAAATCATTAAGATTCAAAAACTTAGCTGTGTAGTAGCTATTGGTTTGCTAAGTCTGTTCATAATCTCTACGCACATACTGTTCCCTAAAAACAACCAACACCTCAACAGTTTGAAGTACAGTCCACTCCTTGCACCATGATCAAAGTACAATGGCTATCAAGGTAAATCTTTTCAGTATATACCTTCATAAGTGAGACTTCTTGAGGTGTTGGGCAGGGGGAGGAATCATTTGATTTCATTCTTTTGAAATCAAATTCCCAAATGTCCCCCTCTCCTGATGTAGTTACTTCATGTGAATAAGTGGAGCACCTCTCCTTCCGTGGGAAGGACTCTGTAGTGGGTATAATTAGGCTTTATAGTCAACTGTGGCAGAGAAAGAGGAAGGGGTTGGATCAATACTGCACCTGTACAAATGAGAGCATCATGCTGGTCACAGTCCCTGTCATCACAGTCGCAGAATTCCCCCGAAATGTACCATTCCTGGGTGGAACAGATGCACTTTCCACAGTGACAAGAACCTGAAATCACAGAGAGCATTATCGCAGGCACTCCTCTACAACTAAAGGTTTCTGTGGAGAATAGAATATTTTCAGTGCACTGACCAAAGTAAAAGCTTATTGAATAGCAACTTGCCTAGAGGGGGGCTTTCCTGACTGCAATTTGCAAAGGTTATCCAAGAGATGCTTCATTATAGATCTAGACAGTTGCAATTAGCCTTGAGCAAATGTTCCATGACCTACTCTGCTTAAACTAGTAATGAGGGTAAGATGCAGCTGACTCATACAGATAGCCTTCCAAAGACGAATGAAAAAAATCTGTCTTCCCCTAAACTGAATAATGCTTTTAAAGTATACACTACTAAGAGGAATTTAATAGTAAATTCTATCAAAAGAAGATGCATTTTATAATCACAATAACCTCCAAAGTTTCGTATTTACACTTTCAGATTTTTGTTTACAATCTTTTCTTAAAGTAGGGGCATACCTGCATTTTGAGTGGCTAATTGAATTGCTGAAAATCCACACACAATGACTCTCTCACATAGATTTCATTTATATGACATCCTCCTCAGGATTCCCTGCCAAAACCTATCTACTCAAAATGTACATCCTCTTAGAGGGTCTACATTTGATTACTTTTCCTACTGTGTCTTAACATTTTGCTTCTTCTTTCCTACCTAATTAAAACATTTCCTCCTCTGAGTATTAAAACAATGTTGGGCTACTCACAAACAAATTTATTGATGTCTTTAAAAGTAAAGGAAGTATATTAAATGGTCTCACAAAACAAGAAAATTCTCTTAGTCCAAATTTTCTCACAAAAGTACTGTTTTTGTAAGTCCTGTTGAGTCTTAACAATCCTGAATAGGGTTTCCAATATAACAAACAGTTTGTAAATCCTTACATGACCAAAGAAATTACTTCTACAACTAAGAACAGTGGTAACTTTAAAATTAAACACACACACAAAGGACTTCCCTTTGCTTGTATATGCAAGAGTTGCTTGTTCTTCCAAATTTGCTTCCCTTTCTCTAAAAGAGAATGTCCAGGTCAAAAATCACTTTTAGAGAAAAATGAAATAGACAATACATTTTTTACATAATGAAATTCCAGACTTGGTACATTCAAACTATATTGGGAGGGGGGAAGAAAGAAATAATCTAACCAATTTGTTGTTAGGTGCCAAAGAGTCAATATCGACTCATAGCAACCCTATGCACAGCAGAATGGAATACTTCCTGGCCCCTCACATTGTTGCTACATTTGAGCCCACTGCTTCTGCCACTGTGCTACTCCGTCTCATTTGAGGTCTTCCTCTTTTTCTCCGACCCTCCACTTTACATGATATCTTTCTCCAAGGACTTGTGTCTCCTGACAGCATATCTGAAGCATAAGAGAGGAAGGTGTTAAAACAGGTGAATAATCTGGGTGATTTCTATGACTCATGTAAGGAATTTGTAGTTGTCAGGATGTTACTCAAGGAATCATGTTAATGCATCCCATACATCACCAGGATGCAACATTGTATATCATGGAACCTGGTGTAAAGCATTTTAGTTGCAAGAATCCCCATTGGTCAAATTAGACTCTCACCATTCCATGTCACCCTTCTCAAATTATGAGAGGAATCCGATTTATTTATTTCTATTACAAGAATTGCGTTTTCAATTATTTTTAACTCCTTCTGGCCACATTGTTTTACATATTCTTGATGCATTTTCCACTGCATCTAGGCTAAGTTTTATGCTCTTGGATGAAATCAAGACAAACGTCAGTTGTGATGAGTGACTGAGCACCTGCTGTTTTCTCAGGACCCAGGTCCATCTGCACTGGGTGCTGATGCCCACCTGTATTCACCCAGATAGACTTCCATGATTCTGTAAGTTTATTCATCCTAATTTTAAAGTCTTTCTTTGACTTTTCCAGACAGGAAATTGTACTTTCCAGACAGGAAATTGTACATTCAACTGTAGTTTAACAAATGATTCAAAACAAAAGAAAATTCATGGCCTTTCATTAATTATCAGAGGACTTTCCTCAGAATTTCTGAATGTTTTATTTCCATCACTAGAGAAAAAAAATAACATCTCCTTTACATTGCAAAAGTCTACCACAAGAGTAAATAATTTAGTATGTCAGTATATCTCATGATTTTCATGTATTACACCCAGAGCACTTTGAAATTTACATTTAAAAATTATTGCTACACTTAATGAGCAGATTTCACACTTCATCTTAAAACTTAACTCCTTGCTTTAGGACTTTTCCAATAACTATTCTTTCTGTGCATGCTTAGCTTTAAACCTTAGCAACGTAATTTCCTAAAATTGGTAAGTTCACCTAAAAGTTACCATGGTACTGGTAGACCATTTGATAAGTTAGTCACAATTCCCAGAGTTGTTGCTCACTAACTTTTTGGGAAGGGAAAAATGAGAAGACTTTGTACCATGAAACACTAGTTTCCTCACATTGGCATTTTCTCTAGCTGTGGTGCCCTTTCCTGTTTGTTAATGCTGCCTGTATCACCGAGATAGGAAATTCTTCTATGGTTTGTGATACTAGAAATTGGATAGCACATTATAATAGCATAGTGTAACAACTATTAGGATCTATTCTAACTCTTACAGAGAGCTCCAACTGCTCTTATCTAAAGCAGGGCTTGAATTTCCCTCTCAGTATAGGATATACTCAGGATGGGCGTTCTTCTTTCCAATAGACAGAGGGTGCATGAATGTCAACATGCAAGTCTTTGTTCAGCTCAGTTGGCTGGGACCCACTCCTCCTCCTGATAGTTTAGTTTAGGGAGTAGCTGACCAGTCTTTGCAGGAGCTGAAGGACGGTCGCTTTGTGACAGTAGCACAAATAATCATTCACTTTCTCACTATAATGACCCTTAAAAATGATACAAACTCCATTCTGTGCTTCTCATCTGGCTTCCATTCTTGGTGAATCAGTCACATTTTCTCATTTGTCCTCGAAGCATCCTTACAACTTTACAAAGGATAAGAATGAAATCTTGGCTAAGGATAATTTTGCAAAGGAAAATGTTGGAGTGGTGGAGATTGTGTGTGTACATTGTGGATCCATTTGGATGGTGTGGGGCACAACAAATATTTTTATGAGGGTTTAAGAAGACCTTTAACGACGTGTGTGTAAAGCCACTGACATGCAACAGCATCTTTGAAAGTACTGGAGGTGATGACCTGAGTCTAGATGGACGCAATCCAGGCAAAGGGTTTTCATGTACTCTCCTATCCAAATACGTGAATGCCCAAACAAACAAAGCCCTGTGAATGAGATCATAGATTCTGTAAAGGTAGCTAATTTAGGGCAGACTTGGCTGCTAAACTCATCTCCTTTGGTTATCCATAAAAAAGGGCAAGGCACTTTTGTTAGTTGGCATTTCTTTTCCACTTGTCAAGCCTGGCATAATGCTGCACCCTAACATCCAAGCAGGCAGTTTTCATGATTGTACTAACTACTCCATCTGTTATGAAGGTCACAACAATGTATCTTGTTTTAAATTTTTCTATGGAGTGATTTATTGTCTTGGCTATCAATTTGTAAAGAAATAAAACACTATTTCTTCATCGTCTCCTGAGGTGATGGCTTTATTCACAGCTCCTGAGAAGTAAGTGCTTGAGACATTTTTTGTGTGGAGTCACTTGGCTGTGCTCTGTACACTAAGTGGTGTGCCACGGTGCTCTCAGGGCAACTGTGCATAATCAGACTGAGGAAACATTCCAGATGTCCTTGGTGATTATGAGGAGGACGGTTTTTCACCGAAAAGCCTGTGAAAAATTGCAGGGAATTCTGGAAAAACCATCAGAACCATCAGATCTATCAAAAAATGGCCCGAGTCATAGGATTTAGAAGAGGTTTCTCCTTTCTGCTATCATGTTGAAGACTCTTATTCAACTTCATGAGTTACTTTTCCTGTGTCACAGGGTGGGGGTCATCTCCACAGTGACCAGGTATACTTACCATCCCCACTATGCTCCGTGCCTTCAATAGATCACAATTCCATTATCTCAGCCTGAGTCTCTTTTTTTCATCTATAACCCAGTACCAACATCTCCAAAACAGGATGAAAGAAATTTCTGCTGCCAACATTCAGCATGACTATTGCTAACACTAACATGGTGAGCTTTGGGACAGCTTTTACATTCTGCTTCCTGTTGAAAGGCTTTAGAATTCTCCACTCTGTACCCACTGGAGTATACACTCTTATTTTAAGGCAAATATGTTTTCAACCCTTTATGTCTGGATATATTTCCACTACACAGATCAACAAATTCAAAAACACAGTAGGAAGATTTTGTTTTGTTGTTTTGTTCAGGGCTTCAAACTGGTTCAATCTGATTCGACCCCCTGCTGAGAATTTGCCTTTCCACCCCAGGTATACTGAATCAGAATTTACCTCTTAACTAGATCCCTAGATGATTCTGACAGATCACCAGGTGTTTTTTGTTGTTAGGTGATCCTCAGCTAGTTCTGACTCAGAGACTTCATGCACAACAGAACTAAACACTGTCCAGTTCTGAGCCAAACTCATAGTGGTTAAGTTAGAACCCATTGTTACAGCCACTGTGTCATTCTCATTGGGGGTCTTCTGCTTTTTCACTCATCTTACACTTTGCCAAGCATGATGCCCTTCTCCAGAGACTGTGTCTCTCCTGACATGTCCAAAGTACAAGAGACAAAGTTTTAAGACTGTCACATCTAAGGAGCATTCTGGCTTCACTTCTTCCAAGATAGAATTGTTTGTACTTTCAGTATTTCAAATACTTCACTTCTTCCCTGGTCTTCTTTATTCATTATCCAACTTTCAGCTGCATACAAAATGATTAAAATAACCATGACTGGAGTCAGGATCACCTTAGTCCTCAAACTGACTTCTTTGCTCTTAAACACTTCGAAGTGTTTGGCAGCAGATCAGCCCAATGCAGGTGCATCGTTGAGTTATTTTAACTGTTGCTTCCATGAGCATTGATTATGGATCCTAGTAAAATGAAGTCTTTGACAATTTCAGTCTGTTTTCCATGTATTACAATATTATTTATTGGTCCAGTGGTGAGGATTTTTATTTTCTTTACATGGGAGGTGCAATCCATACTGAAGTCTATTATCTTTGACATTCATCAAAGTTTTCTAAGTCCTCTTCTTCATATAAACTAGTTTCTTGGATTATTTGATCAGTAAATGGACTAAGTATGGTGAAAACGTATAACACTGGTACATACCTTTCCTAATTTTAAACCATTCAGTATCCCCTTATTCTTTTCAAATAAGTGTCTCACGGTCTATGTACAGGTTCCTCATGAGCACAATTAAGTGTTCTAGAGTATGCATTCTTCATAATACTATATATAGTTATGCTCCACAAAGTTGAGTGTCTTTGCATAGTCAATAAAGCATAAGCAAGTATCTTTCTGTATCTGCTGTTTTCAGCCAAGATCCATTTAATGGTAGCAGTGATATCCCTAGTTCCATGTCATCTTCTGAATTCAGCTTGAATTTGTGTCATCTCCCCGTCAATGTACTGCTGTAACCATTTTTACATTATCGTCAGCAAAATTTTATGTACAGGTGATATTAATGATATTGTTTAATGATTTCCCTATTCTGTTGGGTTAATTTTCTTAGAAATGGGCACAAATATGAATCTTGTCCAATAAATTTGCCAGGTAGCTCTCTTCCAAATTTCTTGGCATAGATGAGTGAATGCTTTCAGCGCTGCACTGGTCTGTTGTAAGATTTGAATTTGATTTCTGTCAATCCCTAGAGTCTTGTTTTTTGCCAATGCCTTCAGTGTAGCTTGGACTTCTTCCCTCAGTGCCACTGGTTCTTGAGCACATGCTAACTCTTGAAATGACTGAACATCGACCACTTTTTTTGACACAGTGACTCTGTGTATTCTATTTTCCTTTGATGTTTCCTGCATCATTCAATATTTTGCCTATGGTGTTGCTAAGTGCTGTTAAGTTGGATCTACTCATTGCGACCCTGTAGGGTTTCTAAGGAGCAGCTGATGGATTTGAACTACAAACATTGCTGTTAACAATCCAGTGCTTATCCTACAGTGCCATAGGCTTGTCTTCTTCAGTTCTTTCAGATTGAGAAATGCTGAGCATGTTCTTTCCTTTGGTTTTCTAACTTCAGGTCTTTGTACATTTATTAGAATACTTTGTCTTCTTGAGCTGCCCTTGGAAATTCTCTGATCAGCTCTTTTACTTCTGCTTTTCTTAGTTTCAGAGTCTCTCTGGCATCCATTTTGATCTTTTCATGTATGATGTTCTGGATGTCATCCCTAAGCCTTCTGGTTTTCAGTCACTAGTGTCTAATGCATCAAATCTGGTCTTCACATGTCTCTAAATTCAGGTGGGATATATTCAAGGTCATATTTTGTCTTTCATGGATTTGTTTTTATTTTCTTCATCTTCATTCTGAACTTGCATATGAGCAATTGATGTGTGTGGATCATTACAAACTGTGCAAACCATTGCAAAGAATGGGTATTCCAGAACACTTAATTGTCTGTTCCACAGTCAGCCCCTGGCCTTGTTTTGACTAAGGAAATTGATCTTCTCCATAGTGTCTTCCCACAGATGTAGTCAATTTGATCCCTATGTTTCCCATCTGATGAAGTCCATATGTAGAATCAGTTTTTATGTTGTTGACCAAAGACATTTGCAAGGAAGTGGTCATTGTCATTGTACGTGCAAAATTCTATCATGTGATCTTCAACATTATTTATATCACCAAATCTATATTTTCCAACTACCAATCCATCCTCTATTTCCAGCTTTTGCATTCCAAACACCAGTAGATATCAATGCATCTTGATTGCATGTTTGGTAAGTTTGAGACTGAAGCAGTTGGTGTAATTCTTCAATTTCATCATTAGCCTTAATAGTTGCTGTGTAAATTAGAGTAATAGTGGCATATGGATGTTATCCTATCACAGATAGCATTATATTTCAAGACAGATCTTGAAATGCTCTTTTGTATGATGAAGGTGATGCCATTCTTCTTCAATTGGTCATCCCTAGCATAGTAAAATATACAATTGCCTGATTCAAAATGGCCAGTACCAGTCCATTTGAGCTGTTGCCTTGGATTCTGATCTTTATGAGTTCCATTTCATTCTTGATGACTTCCAATTTTCCCAGTATATTTCCTTGTACATTCCATGTCGCAATTATTAATGGATGTTTGCAACTGTTTCTTTTCATTTTGAGTTGTGACCCATTAGCAGAAGGCGGCTCTGAAAACTTTCTCCATTCACTCTTTTGAGGAGGCAGCTCTTCCCCAGACATAATTTGAGTGCCTTCTAACATGAAGGCTCATCGTCTGTACCATATCTGGCTATGTCATGTTGCTATTAAGATTTTCAGTTTCTAACCATTCAGAAGTAGTCTGTATCTCCTTCCTATCACCTGTCTTAGTGTGGAAGCTCTGCTGAAACCTGGTGGTATTGAAAGTACTGATGGAATAGCTTCCAGCATCACAACACCAAAGCATACAACCTGACAGAGGAGTGGTGGAGGTAACTCTTAGGTATAAAAATTATTATGTGTAAAAGCAATTCTTAATAACAATCACATGGGGATATTGTTAAACTGTAGATTCTGATAAGTGAAAATGCAAATTCTCAGCAGGGGCTCAAGTCAGAAGGAATTGGTTCAAAGCCCTTGTTTTTGTTTATTTCCAGCAAATGTCCTTGAGACAATATTTAGTCAAACTGGTTTTTTTTTTTTTTTTAATGGTGAAAAATGAGAATTTCTTCTCAACATACCATGACTTTAATTAGAATGCTTAATAGCTAACAGAGTCAGTTGAAGAAATGCTGTAATCCATGGCACTGGTGAACAGCACTGTGTATGCTTTTGCCATACCTGCAACAGATATGACTTACTAAAGACCTGTTTATGGTCAACTTTAATGACTTGATGGTTTGTCTGATACACAGGCATATTTTAAAGATAAACAAATGTTTTAACGTAAATATTGATTTTCATTTGGTAGCAATTACCTGAAAAGTTTATATCCCTGTTCCATTGATAATGCCATTATGGAAAATGAACCATTTAAAAAAAAAAAAAAAAAAATCTGACTCCAAAAAGCTCATCATTCTCAATATAGTTTTTAAACTCAAGACATTACCTCTGATCTGATGACATTTTCTCCCCACCCCGACTCCCCCTGACACATTAATTCCATCCCTACCTACTTTACTGCTTTCCTTTACAGATGTCTTCATCCTGAATTCCTTTCCCTTGACACCCAAAGGAGGCCGATTTCTCCTTTGCCTCCTTTATTGGTTCTTCTGGCACAGCTTCAACTAAGAGCAGGAGTTTTTAGAAGGCAAGGCCCTCAGAGAACAGAATTGGTTCCGGATGTGTGTAGGGTAGAATCAGATTGAAGGCAATGGGGGAACAGAGATCAAAATCATCTATTTAACCTCCTTTGAGTACTGCCTGACTATTATAATTGTATTAGGGTGATGGCTTTTTCTAAACACTGAAAACACAGATCCCAAGCACAGATTTCCCAGAAACCAAAGCCATGTTTAATGAAATTGGTACATTTATTCAATAGCCAGTCTCCCCTATACCATATGTGGTCACAACATCCCTCTGCTTTTATCTTTGAATGTCACAAAGCTCCAATCAACCTGGCAGCACTGGCTTTCATTGGTGACAAGTGAAGTAATACCAGACACATTAACCCCAGGCACATAAATCTTTACAGGAGTAGAATGCCTCATCTTTCTCCTGCAGAACAGCTGATAGTTTCAAACTGCTGACCTTGAGGTTAGCAGACAGACTCATAACCACTATGCTACCAAAGCTCCTTAGTCACTTGTGGTAGATTGGGCTGTTTCAGAAATACCTTTTTGTTTATGAATTAGAATGATTATTTTGGGGGAAGGAGATCTCATTAAGTACCCAGTATATTGCTGCTTTGGGGTTTTTAAATATATATATATAAATTTTTTTGGTCTCAAAACCTTTAAATCTATTTCATTCAGCCATGCTGTTGCTCACCATAAGTGACTAATTGCATTTTTGCATGAAACCTATCACACATATTTAATTTTCTTAGACCCTAAACGTCATGTGGTTTATTTTCAAGCTTAAAGTATGGCACAGTCTGAGAACAACGTGGTTTTCATTTACACCCAGGGCAGTCTGAAAAAGATGGTTGCTACTTGCGTCTCTACAAACTATGTGTCAGAACAGGAATCCAGTCCAAGCCTTGGCTGAGATACTCACCCTTTCCTGAGCACAATCTGCCATCTGCTGACTCACACAAACTCTTGCTCTGTTCTTCCGTCATGTTACACTTCTGTGGATGCTGGCAGAGTGTCCCGAACCATCCTTTCTCACAAACACAGTGACCGCAAGAACATGCACCATGTCCTGTCAGGCAACGAGCGGGAGGGATCAGTAGGTGTGAGGAAGAGATGCATGAATAACCAACTGAACTAGAATTTTAAAAAAGAAAATATATAGGATTATATTTTCTATCAAACACCCTTCCCCTTCACCTGCAGTCAATTAGGCCTGTAATTCTTAAAAAGACCTTCACACAACAGAGCTCTAGCGTCACATAATACATCTGCATGAAGGTAGCATAGGTGATGGACTCTGGAGAAAAACAAATGTTGCAATAACTTAAGATGGAAGTACACCACCCTTTCTTGATAACAACTATGTCCTCATTTGCAATTTTATCAGTATAGAGTCTTAGTACTATTGTTCACTGTGCCCACCATGACATCCATTTCAGCTTGCAAGTCTGGTCACGTTACCACTGCTTGCAGTGCTTAGTGATTGCTTTCCTATTGCTTCCTAATGAAAACAAAGGTTAGTTTCCATACCAATGATACCCAGCATTATACTACTTTACTTTCTACTCACTAACAAAAACAGATATAAGTCAGGGGTGGGGAAACTTTCATCTGCCAAAATGCATGTCATTTGCAGGCCGTACAAAATTATCAATTTAAAAATTAGCTTGCTATATTTGACCTTAACAACAATATTTGGCCAAATATTAAATTAACTCACCCCTAATGTGATGGTTGTAACTGCAGTTGCCTTGGCAGGACCAGACCAAATGATTTCCTTGGCCTTATGTGGCCCGCGGGCCAGACATTCCCCACCTCTGGTAAGTAATGGCCTTGCTCAGTTATCATTGTATAAAGCATTAAAACAGTGTGAGGTTTGGACTTACAGATAGCCTTTTTTCTTTGGTTTGGTTTTGTTTCTGACTTTGGCTCCTGTTTTGGGTGATCTGTTAGTCTTGTGATGGTAAAATATTATATTTGTGACCATTATATATTGACATATACACTTGCTTAGTTGATTGCTACCAACATGCCATTTTAATTTCTGGCTTCCAGTAACACTTCTCCTTTACCTGGTATGTATTCTACCTCACAGGCAATACAAAATCAAAAAACACCCAGTGCCATCAAGTTGATTCTGACTCATGATAACCCGGCATAGTCTCTGAGACCATAAATCTTTACAGAAGCAGAAAACCCCATCATTCCCCCACAGACCACCTCCTGCATTTCAAGTGCTAACCTGGTGGTTAGCAGTCCAATGCTGATCCTAAAGCACTTTATAGCCAGATCTCTCAAATCAGCTATATGTGTGGTAAAATTATATTGAATATCTCCTATAAATCTTATCTTTTACTGGACACCAAACTATTGCCATTGATTGGATTCCAACTCAGAGTGAGCCAATACAGACAGGACAGGGTAGAACTGCTCCTGAGGGTATTGGAGACTATAGATCTTTGCAGGAGCAGACAGTTTCATCTTTCTACTGAAGAGACTAGTGTGTTTGAAACACTGACCTTGGAGTTAGCAACGCACACTCTTACCAGGGATCCTTGTACTAAGCACTGCTGTTGTTGCTATAGCTAGCCAGTCATAGTGACCTTGGAGGGAATTTCTGAGCCGGAAAATCTTTATGGGAGTAAAAAGCCTGAGGCGTCTGGATATTAGTCTACCACAGACAGCATTATATTTCAAGATAGATCTTGAAATGCTGATTGTGATGTCATTCTTCTTCAATTTGTCATTTCTAGCACAGTAAACCATATGATTGCCTGATTCAGAATGGCAGTACCAGTCCATTCCAGTCAATGCCTCCGGTGGTGATGGTGATCTTTATGGGTTCTAGTTCATTCTTGATGACTTCCAATTTTCCTAGTACACGTCCTTGTACATTCCATGTCACAGTTATTAATGGATTTTGCAACTGTTTCTTCTTAATTTGAGTTGTGACCCATTCGCAGAAGAAGGCTCTGAAAACTTTCTCCAGGTACTCCTTTGTGGAGGCAGCTCTTACTCAGGCATATTTTGAGTGCCTTCTAACGTAAGGGCTCATCTTCTGCACTAAATGTGACAATGTGGTTAGCAGTCCAGTGCTTAGCCTATAGAACTACCAGTGCTTGTCCTACAGCACCAATGCTCCGTCTTAAGTAATGTTGTTAATTAAGTGCTTTGGAGGTGGTTCTGACTCATAGTGACCCTGCATATGGTTTCCAAGGAGTGGAACCATTAAATAATTTAATATAGATTTTTCTGCACAAGGAAATGATTTATTTTTCATAGAAGAGCTCATTTGTCACGTCTTTCCACAGATTAAATTAGCAACCAGCCCAGACAATGGACAGAATGCATTGTTTATGTCTTGATATGCCTTGTCTTTAATTACTTAAAATTAAGTAACAGCAAATGTTTTTATCAATTCTTCTTGATAAACTTTAGTCATCCACTAAAGAAATATTTATTGCACATCCATATTATCTGCTAGGCATTGTGCTAGCAGTTTGGGACATAATAGTAATTAAATAAACATAGACTATATCTCATAGTATTTACAGTCTATAGGTGGAAGAAACAAATAACAACTGCAAGCAGATAAATATGAGTTCTGGGATTTAGGGGTGTCTGGTGTGGTGCTGTAGAATCAACACTGGACTGAGAACCATAAAAGTCGGCATTTCAAACCCACCAGCTGCTTCATGGAAACTCTATACAGGGTCACTGTGAGTCAGAAATAACTCGACAGCAGTTAACAACCACAACATGGCATTAGAGTCCTGAAGTGCCATGATAGGATAAGTACTGAACTGCTAACCAGAAAGTTTCCCCACCCCGGATTTATATCTGTTTTTGTTAGTGAGTCAGAACCAACTCAACAGTACTTAAAAAACAAGGTTTAAAAGGTACTGATGTAATCAACAAGGATGCTTGTTGTTACAATAGTCAAGCTTTTCGCTACTAACCAGGAGGTTGGCTGATCAAATCTACACAGTGGCTCTCAGAAATCTGCTTCCCTAAAGATTGCAGCCTAAGAAACCCTGTGGTACAGTCCTACCTTGTCACATGGAGTCTCTCTATGAGTCTGAGTTGACTCCACAGCACCACAACAACAGTGTAGCCAACAATGAGAAGTTGGAAAGGATTCAATGGCACCCAGAGGATGAGCACGAGACTGATGGTTTATGTCCTAGGACCAGAACTTCTAGGATGGCAGAAATGAAGGGTAGATGTGACAACCTGTAGCCTTTAGTGCTAATTACCTTAGCTGATACACTTAAGAACTCAGGATTTGGGGATATCGTTTTGTGAGGTTTGTGATTTTAGGATGTAATTTTGAAACAATTTCACAGCTGCCTGGAAATTCAGGAAAGGAGTCCTGTGGCTGCAAAGAGGTAAGCATGCACCTGTAAATGGGAAGGGTGGTGGTTTGCATTTATTTAGCTGCTTTGCAGGAGAAAGACCTGCAATCTGACTCTGTAAAGATTACAGCCAAGGAACCCTTCTGGGTAGGTCTACTCTGCCATATGAGTTGAAATCAATTGGACAACACCCAACAACAACAACAAGGTCTTGGCCTGAGTGAGTCATCAGAGGCCTTCCTCATCATTAGAAAGCCAGTGGGGTCCTGGAGTCACTGGATTCATTCTCAGGCTGTCTGCTTTCCTTCAGATTGCAGCTCTGTATTAAACAACTCCCTGAAGAAATGTGAACTGATTGTGTAATTAAGAGGTGGCTCTTCATTATCACTCTTGTTTCTTAAATTGGACTCATGGGCAGCCAATCCAGGAGCATAGAGGAAAGAATAGAAGAAATAAGCCATCCATTTTTACTATCATACTGCATTTTAGGGTGCGGGAAGGATGTATTAGATGAAAACAATGAAACACATATGAGTCAAACTATAAATATACTTTCTTTGTTGTTTTGGCCATCAAGTTGATTTTGACTTATAACAACCCTGTGTAGGGTTTCCAAAGCTGCAAAAGTTTACGGGAGCAGAATAGAATCTTAAATGCATATCACACAGAAAGAGAGAGAGAGAGAGACAAAGAGAGAGAGAGAGAGAGAGAGAACAGGTTTTCTCTAAGACTGTCACTCTAGACAAAGAGCATGGTTTTTCAAGCTGGTTAATAATTAAGCCATGCATTTATAGGTCACACTTTTTTTTTTTTTTAAATTAACAGGGATGTTTTGCTAGAGTCTGCATATGGTCTGTAACCACTGAACATGAATGCACAAGTAAGTTAATTAAATGAAGACTGGTTTTACTGCATACTGATTTTCTATTTGCTAGTCATTCTCATTATGATAATTTTCAGATTGTAATTTTGGTTTACTAAAAATTGGACTGCTCAAAATTATGTCATTAATTACATTCACCTTCAGGTACAGTTGCTCATTTTTCCCAGCCTATCAGTATTTGTTGAATCAGACGGTGTTTATTGTTAGTTGGTTATGTGCCATGGAGTCAATTCTGACTCATAGTGACCCTGTATAGGGTTTCTGAGGATGTAAATCTTTATGAGAACAGAAAGCCTCATCTTTCTCCTGCGCAACTGCTGGTATTTTCCAACTGTTGACCTTGAGATTAACAGTCACATTTGTAATCACTATGCTACCAGAGCTCCTTTGTTTATTGTTAAGATGATGGATAACCACAGTGACTAATTAGTTTGCACACACCTGCTGATTAGGTAGCTTATGGATGACTTGGTTTACTTATTTGTTTGCAAAATTCCGAAGGCAGCTCTTAAATTGGCATCAGGAACCTGCACTGAGCAGTCAGTTCATGCTTTAGGAATGCAGCGTTCTAGGCCTTCCTTCAGCTAGGTGAAGGGTCACAGAAATTATGGCTCCACATCTGGTGGTGAACTGAGAAGATTATCTAAATTAGTGATTTTCAGTTTTGTTCTCCTCTCAAGCCACACCAAAGGGAGGCTGTTAATATGTTCCACATTTCATATTCTTCTGTTTATTACTCCACTGGCTGCCACATGATGGTGAGAGTCCAAGTGTTGAGCTAACTTCCCAGAGATGTGAACATATAGCTGTGTGTGCTTCCACTTTGTAGCT